ACTTTAAGAATAACCCTATTCATAAATGCTACTGAAACAATAGTAGAGGTTTGATTTTTTTCCATTGGCATTTATAATGATTTAGTGTCCTAATTTTCCTTGGGCAATCATTAGTGGGCTCTAATTTGTTTTTCTTCTTTCTTTGATTCTGTACTCTCAAGACACAATTAATTCTTAGTTTGGAATGAAGGAAAGTTGGTGTCTAAGGTTTAGTCATTTTAATATGCCAATATCTATAAATTGTCAATTAGTTCTGGTTCTGAACAATCGAACTCCCAAATTTCAAAGAGAGTATTTGATGAGGTAAATTAGAATCAATTCTTACCTAACATTGCTTCCTAAAATTTAAAATAACATTTGAAGAATTGTTTGCTGACAAAGAGCTTTCAGTATATTATGTTCTTTATCCTTACAAGAATTCTAAGGTTCAAAATCAATGAAGAAATGAGAAGTTTGGTAAATTAAGCAATTTATGGGATGATTAGAAAAATAAATGGAACTTAAATCTTTGTTTTCATTTACTCTCACTGGCTTTGTTTTGACTTTTTCATGTAGTCACAGATTTTCCAAAGCTCCAAAGTACGTTAACATGTCAATCAGTCCAACTCTTATTCCACTTGATCTGTTAAAGGAAATAAGCCCAGGGGATTGTGACTTGTCATGCACACAGCTAGCATGTGGCAGATGAGACCTCAGCCCTTGTTTCCTAACTTCTGATCTAGTACTCTTTCCAACACACTGGTTACACTGTGACTCCCTCACGGCACACCTACACATTAATGACAATGGATATGCAAGGTGTCAGTAAATTACCTAATAATCACAGAATCCCACGTTCCCCTCTAGATTTCAGAATATATCTCCATAGATAGCGTATTGTCAAAGTGTTTACTACTGAGTCTGCATTTAGAAGACATTTAATAATGTCTGAATGAATGAAACGGTAACCCCAACTCTGTTTTTCTCAGGAGAAAATTCCAAATACGGATTGACGGAAAGTCGTGCCCTGCTCTTAACTAGAATGATAGTAACAGTAGTGCAGTCAGGCGAAGGAAAAGACGACTCATTGTGGCAACTTCCGGTTATTCTTTCACAAAGCCTGACCTAAGGATCACCAAGAAGGAAAGACAATGCAAGATCACTGTTTCTTAAAAATACCACACTGCCAGAGAAGGACAAGCGGCTGCACCCATCTAAACCACCCAGTTCTAACAAGACGCCTTCTCGAAGTTCTCCCATGGCTCCTGCCTTGCAGATGGGAAAAGAAAGGTAAAAGCATGGAACCATGAGCAAGAGAGAAGTCTTAGAATGACCAGGTGTATTCTCTAACAACGTCACACTAAGAACTGGCTTCCCGCGTTGCCTAGTAACAGCCGCCGCGCTAGGGTCGCGGCGTTCAAGATGAGGTCACATGGTCAGGCGGCTGCGCGCTCCTTTCCCCGGGAAACTTGCGTCATCACGTATATTTGCAACGCTTCCACGCTCCAAGTAGGCGGGCAGTGATAGGCGAGTGGGTTTTAGAAGAGAAACAGCCCAGCACTCTCCCGAGACAGCGGGAAGAGAGAAATAAGTATAGGGAGAGGAAGGAGGATAAGAGGGAGGTCGCAGGATGGGAAGCTGGTGAGAGAAGGACCGACTTCGGTTACCTGTGGAGCGGGAGGCGGTTCAGGTCCTTTATGAAATGCCCGGATGACGCTCCAGCACCCACGCGCCTTCCGCATTGAGAGCAGCGCCATCTTGAGAAGGGCGGAGTCGTGTTGTCCAGGATTACGTCTGCTCAGAGAACAGTCTCAGCCTACAGCTGCTTTGGCTTGCTGCGCATGCGCATGTCCTGGGGTTGGTTCTAGCCGCTTGTAGGAACGGTGTCTGTTGGACTATTTGGGGGATTGGCACACGGTGCGACGGGGCTGTACTTTTCCCCAGATTCCTCATTTTTATGTAGACTTCCTTGAGGGAGAAACTTAAAGGATATAAATCGTAGGCTGATTATATAAGTAGTAGCACTGTATACTGGGAAGAAAGGTAGATTGCTTTTTTAATCTTGGCTAGCCAGTGGCAACTTTCTAAATGTTGCCATAGAAATGAAGCCTCCTAGTGTTTCTTTTTCTTTCTTTCTTTTTTAATAGAACAATTTAGTGGCTTTTTGAGACCTATATGGCCTATTAACTCATTGGGTCTGCAAGCTTTGCTTAGTGAAGGTATAAAAAAAACACATGTATGTGTTTTGCCATCAAGAAATGTACAAACTGGGCTGGGGATGTGGCTCAAGCGGTAGCGCACTCGCCGGCATGAGTGCGGCCCGGGTTAGATCCTCAGCACCACTACAAAGATGTTGTATCTGCCAAAAGCTAAAAAAAATAAAAATAAATATTAAAAAAAAAAAGAAATGTACAACCTAATGGGTAACAAACGATTTACACTGATGAAGTATTA